AGGGGAATTCTATAAAGAACCCGAGAAGAATTCTCAAGGATATCTAAGAAAAAGTAAAATTGAGTTAAGAATAGAACTTCAAGGTAATTTTGGGGTGAATTCTAGAAGAGTTTTGAGAAGAATTTCTAGATAATAATGAAATTCTAAATAAAACCTGACCAGAATTCAAAGAAATCTTGAGGATAAGGACACGACTGGACAATTGCTTACCGACCCCACTGACCAGCTGAAACGCTGGTTTGAGCACTTCGAACAACTTCTTCAAGTTGTTCCAGCCATCAACATCTCGGCATGATCCGCCTACCCAAGCAGCACACTTCGATCGAAATAAGCTGCTGCAACTTGATTGTGACTGCAATAAGTGGCACACAAGTAACCACAATTGTTCAGTGACATGTGTGCTGCTAGGGTAGGGTGCGGCGCATCACTCGCGTCAATTCCGAGGCCCCATCACTGCAGGAGATTGAAGCAGCTATCCGAAGCATGAAATCCAACAAGGCTCCAGGGGACGATCGCATATCAGCAGAGATGCTCAAAGCTGACCCCATGCTATCCGCACAAATGTTGCATCAATTCTGTAATATCTGAGACACCGCGACTTTTCCGGCCGACTGGATGCAGGGCATCTTAGTGAAGGTCCCAAAGAAGGGAAATCTGACTGTGTGCGACAATTGGTGAGGCATCATGTTACTGTGTATTGTTCTCAAAGTTCTGTGCAAAGTTATCCTGAATCGGATACAGGAGAAGATCGACATGACCCTCTGGCGGCAGCAGGCAGGATTTCGTGCCGGAAGATCTTGTGTGGACCATATTGTCACGCTCCGCATCATCCTGGAGCAGGTCAATGAATTCCAAGAGTACCTTTATTTGGTATTCATTGACTACGAAAAAGCTTTCGACCGTCTCAATCACGAGAATCTGTGGGGCGCCCTGAGACGCAAGGGAGTCCCGGATAAAATCGTCAACCTCATCGAAGCGCAGTATGAGGCTTTCACGTGCAGAGTTCTGCATAACGGAGCCTTGTCCGACCCTATCCGGGTAGTCGCTGGTGTGAGACAAGGATGTATACTATCACCGCTACTGTTTCTCATCGTAATCGACGAGATCATGGTAGGTGCAATTGACCGTGTACCGAACCGTGGGCTGCTTTGGCAGCCTATCACCATGGAGCATCTCAACGACTTCGATTTGGCTGATGATGTTGCTCTACTAGCACAACGGCGCTCTGATATGCAGAGTAAGCTCAATGACCTAGCCGAACGCTCCTCTGCGGCGGGTCTCACCATCAACGTCAACAAGACCAAATCGTTGGATATCAACACGGGCAACCCTTCCAACTTTACGGTAGCGGGGCAAGCAGTAGAGAAGGTCGAAAGTTTCCAATATCTTGGCAGCCAAATAGCGTCGGACGGTGGGACCAAGAGCGACATAGGTGCACGAATCAAGAAGGCTAGGGCTGCCTTTGCGAGTTTAAGAAACGTATGGAGATCAAACCTGAAATCTGTGTTGTTATACGCCAGCGAGACGTGATATGTATCAGCCGAGAACACTCAAAAGCTGCAGGTCTTCATCAACCTATGCCTGCGGTATATAATTCGTACCTGGTGGCTTCACAACTGGATCTCGAATGCCGAGCTCCATCGTCGATGTCAACAGAAGCCGATAGGAACAGAAATTCGAGAGCGACAGTGGAGGTGGGTCGGCCACACACTTCGACGGGGCGGAAACGAAATTTGCAAGTAAGCGCTGGATGGGAATCCGGCAGGACATCGCAGCAGAGGCAGACCCAGGGACTCATGGCGGCGGAGCCTTAATAAGGAAATTAAGCAAGTCGATAGGAATCTGACCTTGGCCCAGGTCAAGGCAAAAGCGAGCAGCCGCCCAGAATGGAAGTCTTTCACGTTGGCCCTTTGCACCGCTGGTGGTGCACAGGACCCTTAAAAAAGTAAGTAAAGAGAAATTTTAAGTACCATTTCAATGAATTTCTGCTAACAGACCGTGGGAATTTTGCTGAAAATTCAAAAGGAATTTGGAGCGTAACATAAGAAAATTTTGAAAAGAATCCGTAGAAATTCTGGAAAAAATTAAATTGAAAATTTAAATTAATTCTAAATTTCAATAAGAATTTTCAACGAAATTGTTACGATTCTTAGGGAATTCTTGAAATAATTTCCAATGCATCCACGGTGTTTTTTTTTTTGCTAGAATATCCTTTAAAAAATCGGTATTTCCGAAATCTTCACCAATCAAAAGAGGGGACTTTTAACATCATTTTGCTCATGAACGTAGTGTAGGGGTGGTGAATCAGCCACCACCAAGGGTGGCAAGGCAAATGGGCGAATTCAACGAGTTTCGAGTACTTTTGGGGTTTCTCTTAGCTCAGTCGGTAAAGGGGCAGCTACAAAGCAAGACCATGCTGGAGGTGGCTGGGTTCCATTCCCGGTCCGATCTAGGAATTTTTCCGGTTGGAAAATGTCTCGACTTCCCTGGGCATAGAAGTATGATTGTACTTGCCACACAATTATGCTAATGCAAATATGGTATAGGCATCGAAATCTCTCAATTAATAACTGTGGAAGTGCACCTAGAACATTAAGTTGAGAGCATGCCATAATCTAATATGCGATAAGCAATAAACTTGAAATGCGAAGAAGAAGACGAAGAAGAAGACGAAGAAGAAGAAGAAGAAGAAGAAGAAGAAGAAGAAGAAGACGAATCTAGAAAAAAGAGTACAAGGCACTGTCTGAACATTGTACACGAATTACGCTTATTTGTCAAAGATAAGCAATTGTGGTACTAGAATTAAATTAGCAGTTCCAGCCCAAATAGCAAAAAAAAACATAAATTTTTGACTCGACCTTCTTCGATTTGCATTAAACTTTGCATAATTGTTTGTCATGGTCAATCAATCATATTTTTGTAAAAATTCGACCATTTTGAATCTTGCAATTTGTTTCCTAAAAGGAGTTTTAGATTTTTTTTTTATAAATCGCAGCACTTGAACTGTGAAATTCGAAACTTGTAGTCTTTCTTGATATTTTTTTCTTTGTAATATTGTGAATAAAATCAAAATCAGAGTTAAAAATTTTAACATTAAAAATTACTCGTTCAACATTATTGATTTTTGTTAAAGCTAATGAAAAATGCAATATTTTAAAGTATTTGAACCAATGGATTCTTAAAAATAACAAAAATTGTATAACAACAACGTTTAGACATCTTTTTAACTTATTTGAGATAAGAAGGTTTCGTTATCTGAGCAAAAATCACAAAATATTGAACAAATTAAAGTTCAATGTTTTGTTCACGATTTTTTGTCAAATTTTGGCTTTTAATATTTAAAATGTTTGCACTTTTCGTAAACTTTTATAAAAAGAAAACAAACATATTAAACAAAGATAATTATTGATATTCACTTTTTAACCCATTCTTGGACATTTTTTTCTAAAAACGAGACAAATTCTTCGTCTATATTTTTCCTAGAAATAGTTCATTATTTTGCACAACTTTGTATTAGACTTCATTTGGATTTGAAGTGAAGTTTCAGTGTTAAGATATTGATATATATCAAATAAGCCATTTGGGAAAAAAATGCATTATTCGCAAAGACCAAATTTTAGCACAAATGTGAATGATTGCCCGTAACAAACAATTATGCAATGTTTCATGCAAATCGGATATAGTCGAGTCAAATCGATTTGTCATCTGGCGTGGAACTGCTCAAATGGAAATTACTAATCCTTCTTGCTTGCTTTGTACAGGTAGTCCACTATTTATTAATTTATTAATTAATTTAAATAATCAGGAACGAGTCTCACCTTAGAAAACTTCCATGAAAAGCATTCCATTTACAGTTAAAGGGAGGCCCCTAGGGAATTCCAGCAAGCATTATTTTGACAAAATTTCAGAGATAGCAATTCTGAAGCCATTTTGGAGTCTAAAATGTTTTAATTTGAATAAAGCCATCGTCCAAAACTATAACTTACGTACATTTGATTTCATACAACGTACTCCGTCAAACATTGGAACAGAAGTTCTTTCCGATATTTCCAATCCAGAAAAAATAGTAATTCATTCTCACACTTTCCAAAATCAAATCCTTTTTTTTCCACCCCACCCCAGTGCCGGGAGCTCACACGAAAAAAAAACTCCCCCCATAAACCGTATCAGCAGCAAAAAGTCACACAGTCACAGTCACGGGGTACGACTGCTGGCGGGCTGGCACTAGACGTAGGTACCTCAATTTTTGCCCGAAGCGAAAAACAACATTGTCACTTAATTAAATTCGCTCCGCTGGTGGTCGAGAAAATTAAAACTCGATGTTGTCGTAAATTTTTATTGACATGGGTACGATTGTCTAAAACTTGGCGACAGCAGCAGCAGTTTGTTTTTTTTTTTTTTACTTTCGCCGATTTTTCCTGTGTTGTTTGTTTTCCCGAATTAGTGGCAGTAGTAGTAGTTACTGTGTGTTGCGCAATTTGTACGTACAACATTGTTTTCCGACGAAATTAAATTTGTTCCCTTCAACTGCCCTACCCGGTAACAACACCTAGAGCGAACCTATTACATGTTGTTGTGTCAGCTATACGTTTCCTTCTTCGCACAAAGACACACAGATGATTTCAATCGCTATTGTTTCTTTCCCTATCTAGGCATCGCTAAATCTTCCTACGGAGACGCGGCGCACGGGTGGAAGACGAACGGACGGAAGTCGTAAAAGTACGCGAGGCACACGTGGCACTATTCTTCTTCACCTACAAAAGCTTTTCATATTTTCATATTGGTCATCGTCGTCATTGTTGTTGTTGTTGTTGTTGTTGTTTTAGCATGTTTGCCTAGTTCTTCTTGCGTTTTTTCATTTTCTTCGTATTTGTTTTCTTGGTTGAACGATATTTTTTTCTCAGTCGAAGCGCGAATGTTTCAGAGAGAGAGAGAGACAGGACAGAGATTCTTTTTTGACTTTTTGTTTGGTCAAACTTTACACGAAATCCGATACCTACCTCCATAGTTTGGTCTTACTCTTTTGTCATAGCCAACGCTAAACGAATCTAGAATGGCCGAAATATTTACATCTCCTAGCATACTGCCACCACCGGTCCTGCGGGAACAAGAAAACAAGAGAACAAACCGTTAGTCGTTGATGATGCTGAAAACTGGGAGCAGGAAATTGCTCGTTTAAAATTTTATCATTTTTTGCATCATTGTTTTCGCTCACCCACTCTCGTGGGTGGCGCAGGAGGGAGGGGATGTTTTTTTTTTGTATTTTCTGTGGGTTCTGTGGAATGGGAAACGGATGGAGCTGGGATATCTTGATGGTCAGAATATAATGGCTTTCGGAGGAAATGGTGCTGCCGTAGACACATTAGGGCGAGTGCTTATTTCATTTCGGTGGACTTGTGGAAGTTGTTACAGTTGCTTGAAAAATTGCGGCGATAAGCTTTTTCTTTGTTGGCTTCGGGACCGAGGGGACCCCATAGGAATGGTAATTGAATGGATTCGGATGGTACTGAATTTAATTTGAATTGGGATGCTTACGAAAATTGTCTGGAACGAGACTGACAAGTGCTTATGTAACTGTTGCATAACAACGTCAAGTGGTTCCGGAAGTGGCTGTTGGATGAAATCCGAAGTGATGACTAGTTTTTTTTTTTTTTTAATATTCGATCTCAAATAACAGTCACGATCAGAGTTGTTAAATTAATTTCTTCTTGACTTAAATGGGTTGATTTACAAGCCTACGTTATGTCGGTTTCGTTTTTGTGGTATAGCTGCAACGGCATAGTGGCGCCAATAAGTGCCAGTCATCGATAGCTCAGCATCATTTGTTTGTAAACAAACGAACACGCGATGTCTACGCGCTGAATAATTTCGGTATACGGTTTTACACTACACCGGTCCCTGCGCTTCGGTCGGAGAGCGTATAGGGCGTCGTTGTGCCAATTTGGTCGTGGCACATTTGGAGTATGAGAGAGTAATTGCAGTTAGATCAAAAGTGCCTGAGAAAAATGCAAGTACTTTCGCAGATTACCCGAAGTTGCGATAGTGAAGGTATGATCACAGAAAAGCAGACATAACACTCTTAAAACGTTCATCAAAATCGTTTTTAACGGTCAATTTAAATATTTTTTAATTGGTAGTACTGCCATTTGTGGTGCACATAATCAATTCCCTAGCGTTTGACGTTTACACACTACAACCATCTGTTGAGTGTATTGCCCATCAAAGTATATACGACAGATGGCGGTAGGGTTTACATTTATAAATTTTCAATGTGTTGTGTCTGCTTGTCTGTGAAATAACATTTAGGTAACGTTAGGATAAATTCAAAACATTGAGAAATATTACGCATCACTTTCAGAAATACTTCACGTCGCAACCGATGAACCATTCTGACGGCCATATGAGTACCCAAATAACCATATAGTCGCAATATAGCTTGTATATTCTTACTTTTCTTGAGTATGGTTAGTTGGGGAATCTGATGAAACTGTAACTTCTTGAAACTGATCCCTTTCGTATTTCTTTCATTCTCCTTTCGCAAACGGAGCCAGTCTTGTAAGCGGTCACCGTAGTTGACACATTTTCTATGATAATCGGATGCCTTTGCTTCCAACACTTGCAAAACAAGCTATCAAAATACAGTACCAAACTAAAATGTCATATGACAGGCTCTGTCATACGACACTGTGGTCGAAGACCGTCACGAATGCATGCATTTTAGTTTTCTCATAATAAGAGCTGCTGATGTTGTGCTTGTGTTTATTCTAAAAATAGCAAGCAACGATGTCCTCGTAATAACATTTCTGATCAGAAATGATTTAATTAACACCAAATTGAGGAATTATAACGAAATCACACATGTAATATGACAGTTATTTGATCATTTTCTTTTTGCTTGAATGTTGTTCTACCGTTTGTGTTGTGCAAGAAAGACGACGGTAGAGCATGAGAGTATGGATACAAACAGACTGTCGCGCACGACAACGAAGCGAGTGTAGTAAAAAACGTCAACCGTTTCAACCCCTGAACGGAGCGCTCAATGGACCAGTGACTTTGGACGTGAGCCTCGTCCCAGATCACCATGGCAATTCAATAGCATATGGTGGACATCAAACCGACCAAAAAAGGCGGAATCATATTAGAACCAACCAACCAAGGACGGTCTACGGAAGGAAATTGCCGATGAAGCACGGAATGAAATACGAAGCGTTAGCGAAAAAGGCCAAGGGATTCCAAAAGAAGCAAATAACGACGGCAGAAGAGCAGAATATGGTGAGAGCTTTCCATTTATTAAAAAAAAATATCAAAATTACACTAAATACATGCCAGGGTTGAAAAGAATATTTTCGAACCTGGAAGTGTGTATGTATCACCAATATCCATTTGATAACGGTGATGCATACATACGGGGCTTATTGTGAGTGAAAGTAACCTCGGAATGGGCGTGACTCTCCAGACATTCTGAAATGGGTTGCTGAATCTGCAATAGAGCTATCACCTTCTAACTCCCGGACTAAAGCTGTCTACAATGACATTGTAGAAAGAGTTCTTCCATAATAACACTGCCGGCCAGTGGGGGTTAGAGGGAATACACACACACACACACACGGTTTTACACTACACCGGTATAGTGAAGGTTAGCACTAAAACGTTATTAAACGCCTTTGAATGAGCATGAGTTTTATTACGTCAACATTATCTTGGTCAACCGTTGATTCTCAATCAAAATCAATATTTGTTTTGGTTCATTTGTGGATGGATGTTCATTATCGCCCGGGTTACTGTCATCATCAAGTTTTATTTTCATCTCGTTGCGAGTGATTTTAAAAGAGCAAATGCAACAAATTCATGCCCATGGGGCACAAATTAAACGATGTATGATGTTAATGGTTCGTCATGCAACAATCGCTGTCCTCGCAATCCTTAAACAAAGGTGTTGTGGTATGTATGCGAAAGACATATTCGACAAAAATAGCTAATTCTCGCGTCACTTCTCAAATAGACCAATGTAACATATCCACCATTTTGAAAAATTCGAAGTTGAAGTTTGACAGATTATTGTTTTAACTGTTTAGAACATCTATATTTTGCGATTCTATTTTTAATGCAGTCAGTGAATAATAACGATGAAAATTCAATAGAAACGGTAAAATTACAATTTTACTTTGATTTTCATGCTACAACATAGAAAAAAAAACCACATAGGACGTTTTGACTAGTCGAATTGTACATCGGACAATGTTACATTGGACGATTTTTCTCAATGGCATAATCAATGAGTGTTACACTGGACGTTTTGCTCTACATGATACTAGATTCCCTTTCACAGATTTCAGAGTAGAGTACCTAGCTTTTGATTGGCCCCGCCTTTAGAAAATGAGCACCAATCATGTTAGGCAGCCCAAATGACCGAAGTAACAATCATATACCCATCGTTTCTAACTGTAAATTGGACAATGTTTGACCTATGATTATCTTAAATAAATTAAAGTAAATTTGGATGGGTGTTTTTGAATCACATACAATGATAGAAAAGCAATAGTTTGTATCGCTTAACTCGATTTATATACGTTTTTTACTTAGGACCATGTGAAACATATTTTCTATGCAGGTGGAGCAGGTTTTTGAATATAAGTGTGGAGCAGGTTTTTGAATATAAAATTACACGTTTAACGACTCGTAACCACCACAGCATCAGCTATAATCAATTTACTGACACATATAAATGAAGGGTTAAGGATCCACAAGCCGAAATTAAAATATATCTGCTTCTTCTTTTAATATTCTGCAATCATTACTGTCAATTCGGGCTCCCGAAAACTTTGAAACGAGTATTTTGTAAACGTAACACCAGAGTTTCGTCTGCAAAGTATGTTCACTGTATGTGCTAAGTTGTGCTCTTTGGATCACTACACTGTTCCAAACAGTTAGACATGGAATTGAAGAAAAAATTGCTTTCCAAATCTCTAGCCGAAGAAAATCTTTCCGACTCCTCTACTTCGCTTGCAAACGGCAACAAGCGTTGCCAGATGAATATCCTGATGTTGTACATTCAACTTAAAATTATCAAACAAGAAGTGCGATTCATTACCTGAAACAAAAGTAAGAATTGTATGGTGAATATTTAAGATGTTATTCGTTTTCCCACCCAGGATGTAAACAAATTTTAATACAACGTGGTCTGGCAATGGGGAATTGCTGTATCTGCTCTGTTTAAGTTCTAGTTAGTGTAATGTCCTGTTTCTATCTTTATTGAAAACCAAGGGTGTAGATGATTTACTATTGATATTTATAATACATGGCTGTATTTCACGCGTGCTGCTACGAACGTGCAAGCTGACGATGTATTGTACTAAAAATCAATGTGTGTTTCGATGACAGTGATTATTGATGGATATTCAAAATAATTATGCAGCACTAATGAAAATTATTTACTTGCATTTGAAAATCACATTCATTTTGACAGTCCTTGTGTTGAATACTTAAGCGCAAATGAATCTTGAACCAAATATTCTTCGATGAACAATGAACTCATGAACACTCCTATAACGCTGTGCAAACGCGACTTTGTGCTAACATGTGTTAAAGTGGATTCAGGTACTGATCATTCTTCCAAAATTTGATTTTATTTGGATGCGAACTCATACCGCACTGGCCCATTGATGTGGATTGCTATGGGAAATGTGAACTTTTAGCACTTCGCCATAATAATTTACGAAAAGGCTTGCTATCTGCTCATCTGCTACAACTTCCCTCAAGACTTACTATTTGGTTAGACTTCAAGGTAATTGGTTATTAATTGATTTAGAAGTCGATAGCGGTCTGATATGATTAATCGACTGCTTTCAGGGCAACACTGCATTTTGCACTTAAATATAACATAGTAGCCTAGATTAACCTTATTTTTCGCGCCAAGCACACCAATGTTGGCGAACTGCTGAGCAGTTTATGCAGCATGTCAGAAGACTGTCATCTTTCTTATAGCAAATTCGTTTATTATTCAGTTCCAAATCATTGCTGATCACCAATCATCGATACAGCAGTTGGCAAACGACTTTGTTAACACCCAGGCATGGACAATTATTTGCATTCATTTTA